ACGTCGCCCAAAGCACGTCATTACGGATCCTCCTGATCCATTAACGGTGCTTTTAGGCACCACAAGCACCGGTCACCGTCCTCGTCGAACCCGTCGCTTGCGACGAAGGGCTCGACGAGCAAATTAACCCATAGACACAGCCCACTGAGTTTCTCGCCGCATCTTCTCAGTGGGTCGCGTTTCCGATCCGGTGGTAGATTCTGCGAAGCACTGCTCTTGCTAGGGTCAGTGTTAGCAACTCTCCGGTTTGAGCCCCGTGAGCTCACCTACAAACGTTAGGGTGAAGCTGAAATAGCCTCTCAAGGCTATCAGCATAGGTAGGAATAAAAAAAAAATCGAACAAAGCGGGAAATTTTAACACTTGTGCAACTATTTAACTTCAGTATCTTCGATTGTAAAAAACAAGATACATTTTGTATTTTTGCTTTTAAATTAATGATCATAATATTTAATCCATCGCCAACTAATTAATTGTGTTCGTATAAAATTTCATATTAGTTCAACCTGTCGGTTATCGGTGCGTTTGATTATTCAAGTGTTTTTGTTTTATCTATGGAATGTTTTTATGTCACAGTAATGTTTTTTTAATTAAGAACAAATAAAACAAGGGCACATGTGCATTCGTGTTGAGCGATGCACCGGTGTTCGAATCTCAGGCGGGTACCAATTTTTCTAATGAAATACGTACTCAACAAATGTTCACGATTGACTTCTACGGTGAAGGAATAACATCGTGTAATAAAAATGAAACCCGCAAAATTTTAATTTGCGTAATTACTGATGGTAAGGACCTCTTGTGAGTCCGCGCGGGTGGGTACCACCACCCTGCCTATTTCTGCCGTGAAGCAGTAATGCGTTTCGGTTTGAAGGGTGGGGCAGCCGTTGTAACTATACTGAGACCTTACAACTTATATCTCAAGGTGGGTGGCGCATTTACGTTCTAGATGTCAATGGGCTCCAGTAACCACTTAACACCAGATGGGCTGTGAGCTCGTCCACCCATCTAAGCAATAAAAAAAAAATTAAGGTTGCACTGAATCACCCGCTCGGTGGAAAAACTGGAAAATCTTTCGTTTGCCGTTACTTCCAAATTTTAAGCTATTGCAAAGATTTTATCGCGGGCCTTGGGCGCGGCTTGAGAGCGGAATCGTGAAATTTCGTAAGAAAAAAACCTTCCACCCCTCACTACGCCTACCATGTAGCTGATATTTTTGAAGTGAAAACTTCTTTAGAATCGTTGTGATTTCAAACCGGATGCAACGAAAAAAACGACAGGTAAGAGACACAAATACAAAAATGTGTAGGATGAAGCCAGCAAAGAATGAGACAGAAATATACATACTATTTAATACAGCGCCATCTGTGAGATTTTTTAATACTAACGTGTGTATGAAAGCTCTTGTAGTGAATTTTAATTTAGGATTATACGTGAAATTAAAATATCAATTCACAGAGGGCGCTACCTTACAATTATTTACTAATGACAAAATTTTACATATACTTAAGACGTTTAGGATAATTGTATTTTAATTTTGGAAGGTTTCACTTCTACCACGTGTGAATTGCACACATGTATTTTTTTATATTTTATTTCCTTTCTAGGCAGACGAGCATACGGCCCACTTGACTGTGAGTGGTTACCGTCGCCCATGGACTTCAGCAATGCCAGGGGCAGAGCCAAGCCGCTGCCTACCGCTTAATACTCTCCACAAGCCTCGTTTGAAGAAGGACATGTCATAGCGCTCGGGAAACACCGTGGAGGGGAGCTCATTCCATAGCCGGATGGTACGTGGCAAAAAAGATCTCTGGAAACGCACTGTGGATGACCGCAGTGGCTCCAGGTAGTATGGATGAACTCTACTCCGGTGGCGGGCGGTGCGATGGTAAAAACGAGATGTTGGTATCATCTCGAACAATTCCTCAGAGCACTCCCCATGGAACATGCGGTACAAAATACAGAGGGAACCGAAGTCCCTCCGCAGACCCAGAGGCTCCAAACGATCCGTGAGAATGGGATTATCGACAATCCGAACGGCTCTCTTCTGTATGGAGTCAAATGGAAGAAGCTGGTATTTGGGAGCCCCGGCCCAGAGATGGGAGCAGTACTCCACGCGAGGCCGGACTTGTGCTTTATAGAGCAAAAGTCTTTGTCCAGGCGTGAAGTACCGCTTCGCTCTGTTGAGGACTCCCAGCATTTTGGACGCCAACTTGGCTTTGCCTTCCAAATGACTCCGAAATTGGACATCGCTCGAAATGTCGACCCCAAGTATCCCGATACTCCCGGAAGTTTGCAGGGATACTCCTTGGAATTGCGGCGCCATGACAAAGGGGTCCTTCTTCGCAGTGAACGCGCAAACTTGCGTCTTTGACGGGTTCGGAGTCTCGGATTCGGAGACTCGCCCCAGAGAGTTCTCCACTTGAGACACAAGTTTTGATCGTCTCTCTTGCACCACGCTCCGAGAGAGACTCTGATGGCCGATATATCGCGCATCCCCCGTGCTGTCATCCTCATAGTAATGCATGCCATCAATAGACAGCATGTCATTGATATACAGGATGAAAAGCGTGGGGGAGAGCACCGAACCTTGTGGAACACCAGCGTTAATGGTCATGGTATCAGAGCAGTCACCGTCTACAACGACCGTGATGCTCCGCCCATCCAAAAAGCTAGCGATCCACTTGCAGAGACCCTCGGGGATTCCGTAAGATGGTAACTTCGATAGAAGTGCCCTATGCCAGACCCTGTCGAAGGCCTTCGCGATATCAAGGCTCACAACAAGAGCCTCGCCCTTGCTCTCCAAGGCTTCAGCGCACCTGTGAGTAAGGTATACAAGAAGATCGCCAGCCGAGCGACCGTGACGGAAAGCGTACTGTCGGTCACTGATCAGCTGGCGATCCTCCAGATACTTCAGGAGTTGTATATTAATTATTCGCTCCATCACCTTGGAAAGCAAGGAATTTATCGCGATAGGCCTATAGCTCGATGGGTCCGACCGGTCACCCTTCTTGGGGATAGGGTGGACGTGGGCAGTCTTCCATGAAGACGGAACCCTGTTAGTGCAATAAGAGAGGCGATACAAACGCGTTAGCGCAGGCGTCAACTCAGGGGCACACGTTTTCAGAACCACTGCAGGGATGCCGTCTGGCCCACTCGACTTATGGACGTCCAGCAGTCGGAGCTCCTGCCTGACTGCACACTGCGTGAAGCAGATCTCAGGCAGGGAGCTATTACACCGGGGGATGTTCGGTGGTGTGGCACCCCCGTCGTCCACGGTCGAGTTCGAGGCGAAGAGTTTGACCAGAAGGTCAGCCTTCTCTTTCGCACTATGGGCCAGACAGTCATCGGACTTGCGTAGTGGTGGGAGACTAGACCTGCAGAAGTTACCTAGCGACCAGAAAGCACGGCTCCCGGCGGGATAGCTCTTCAGTCACTCGCCAATTCTGGCAACGTGCTCTGACTTCGCCTTGGCAATAGCCCTCTTATAGGACCTAGAAGCGGCGTTAAATTTCCGCCTTTCCTCTGAGGTCCATCCCGACGTCTCCTGACATCATTCCATGCCATGCGGACCGCATGCAGCAGAGGCGTGCAGCGCGTCCCGACTGGCATTGTTGTACAAAAAAAAAAAAAAGGCTCCACTGCGACCCCCGACGAGCACCTTGGAAGAAGGAATGAACAATTCCATCCCCCGAAGCACCACGTTTTTAAGTCGGTCCGCACAGACGTCAGGATCACCAGAGGAAAAGCAGAGTAAAATTCACGCAATCCATCCCAATCTGCTGACATATACCGCCAAATTCTTCGATACCCGGTCGTCGTTCGACGACCAGGACGAGAGATTGGTATCACAGCTCGGATAAGGCAGTGATCAGACGATCCAAGTGGAGCGTCAACCACCACACTGTATCCGGCCGGATCGGTGGTCAGCAGAAGGTCCAACAGAGAGGGCTCGTGCCCCTCAATATCTGGGACACGGGTGGGCTGTGTCACCAGCTGAGTGAGGCCGTAGGACAAGGCGAAATCGTAGGCAGCCCGACCCGGGAGGTCAGTGGTTCTGGACCCCAACCACTCGTGGTGGTGAGCGTTAAAGTCTCCAAGAACCACCACCTCCGCAGAAGGGTACTGCTCAAGCACGCGGTTAGTCCCCTCTTGCACATGCTCTATCAGAGCTGAATCTGCATCACTGCTGTAGGACCTGTACAGGCACGCATAGATTCGGGTACAACCCCCGTGATCTACGCGCAGCCACAAGAGGGATAGGTCCCGTTGTTCGAGGCCACGAAGACGGCGACAACAGACATCAGCCCGGACGAATACACACACCCCGGCTTTACGCAGGAAGTTGTGCTCCAATACGTAGCCGGGGTACTCAAGATATGAGGTATCATCCGGAGCTGATATCTGCGTCTCCGTTAGAAAAAGGAGGGCAGGCTGCGCCGTCTCAAGGTGGTGGTGTACGGCGTCAAGGTTACTATGTAGGCCCCTAACATTGCTGAAATCCACGTTAAATGTGGAATGGGGAGTCGCCGATAAAACCCTATTTCTTTTTCGTACTGTCATAACTTTAATTTTGTTGGGAGAGTAGGATTAGGAGAGGTAGGACGTTCGGGGCGAAATCAAGGCAATACCTGAATAAAGCGCGGAACACAGTGTATGTTCAACCACGGGTTGCGTGAGAGACTGACGCAGGGCATGGAAGGGCCCCCAGTCTACCCTGCATACGATCGCCGGGATCCACTCCGGTCTCCGACTCCGGCACGGCGACCGCACGACAGGATTTTACACCGGTTGGCGGGACAGCTTCCCGGGGCGGAGTTTAGTAGTGACACCCGGGTTCAGGTCCCCTACTGACCGGCGGGCGGCGGCGTAAAATAAAATCAGCTACTGCACGCCTTATTATTATTTATACGTATCATTTACACATCGAACATCACTAAACACTACACAAACACAGCAGCGCGTGCGTACAAAATAATATATAAAGGCACCGCGTATTGTTACCGAGCTATAGTTCGCAGCATATCGTCAAGATGGCCGCCAAACATTACTTCACCATGCTCCTGCTCGTATCCCTGATGGCTCTCATAGCCAGTAACAGTTCGTTTGAAAAAGGTGAGTAATTATTTTGACTTCATTGGGCTCGATCAGAATAAAGTTACAGATAAAACAATAGTTGTTTATTGCCCTTTGTTTTTTTTTATTATTTGTTTTTTTATTGCTTAGGTGGATGGACGAGCTCACAGCCCACCCGGTGTTTAGTGGTTACTGGAACCCATAGACATCGACGACGTAAATGCGCCACCAACCGCCAACGGGTGTATGCTCGTCTGCCTAAAAGAGCACTCTTAATTTTGTGATATATAATAGGTTGGGGTAAAAGTTCGCAACATTTTTTAATATAGTTTATTTACATTTAACTAAAGTATGTAGGTACCATTTTGTTCGATAACTTTTTGTCATCTTGTAGGTAGGGACATGATCCCCTTCTGTTGATTAATTCCGGCTGCTTTCTCTCAACTTCTTGCTTTAATCTCATCAGTTGTTCGCAGTAGAGTTCAGAATCGATGGTCCTGCCTGGTGGAATCATTGTTTTTTGAAGGAAGTTATTTTTAATATGTTTATTTAAATAATGTAAAAAATATAGCGCTTGTTAGGCACAACATTTAAATTGGATGTTGGTTTGCGCTGTGTAATGAAAAGGGTTTGATTCCGCGTTTATTAACTAAATTTTATTGTTCCGATTTCCGAATGGTTCACAATGGGCAATATGGCACATTAACATAACTAGGTACCTAATAGATGCATAAATTGACTACATTTACTATTTATCCCCGCATTTTTGTAGGTATATATTTCATTATTTTCGACGTCACCAATATCTCAGAGCTACTTTTTGCCACGCATGATGTTAAATTTAAATAATAAACACGAAATCACACCGTACAAGTGCTTTTAGTTATGTCTATGGCGCGTGGGGACAGAAGAAAAAGTTTACGTCAATGATATCACAAAATTTCTTCATATTGTTAGGCTACCATCACGAACGCCATCCACAATGAAGGATAACGGTTTTTACTAAAATAACGATTTATACGAAGGAAAATAACTAAACATTTCGATAATTACTTGTGGTGGGGCAGTATTGGGAAGCAGCACGAGTAGGTACAGCTATCCTGCCTATTTCTACAGTGAAGTGTCCATCCGTTTCAGGTTTGACGGGTGGGACAGCAGTTACGCAAGTATTTTTTTTTAAATTATATCACACCACATAAACTTGTCCCGTACTAAGTTCTTAACGAACTTGTGCTACAGGTACCAGATAACGGAAATAAATGTAAGATTTTTATAATACACATACATATATTTAATATACATCCATAACCCTGGAAAGTACATTTTTATATTTATCATACAAATATCTTCGCTTGGCGGGATTCGAGCCCGCGACCCCCTTGTGTAGTGACCATGTCACTACACCAGACGGCCGTTTTTATTAAGACTTCGAGCTTATGTTCCAAGGTGGGTGGCGGCTTTCACGTTGTGAGCTTGTGTGGGGCGATGTAGATTAACTGCCTCTCTCTTCTCTTGTATTTTACAGATTGTCCTGAGAATTCTCATTTGACAATGGACCCCTGCGCGCCGACCTGTGAAGATCCAGACCTAACACATACCAGCTGCGTAGCGGCATTGCTCCCAACATGCCACTGTGATGATGGCTTCCTCTTCGACAACTCAGGAAAATGCGTACCCGTTGATGAATGTCCAGACCAAAAGAGTGAGTGCGTCAACTGTTTCCATAAACAACAGTCATAAAGTTGATCATCAATAAAGTTGATTGTTGAAAACACGAATAAAACAACATTTTCTGAAAATAAATCGTACCTAGATCGCTTTATCGCCCCCGAAATCCCCTGTATACTAAATTTTATAAAAATCGTTGGAGCCGTTTCCGACATTCAGATTATACCTAGTCAGGTCATAAATTCTGTCACATGTTTAATGTAAAATAATTGAAACAAGTTTATTCATTATGTAACCATTCATATACCAAAATGAACTTAACAAAACATAGATTCTTATGACACTAAAGTTTATTAAAAATTACCTCCGTGATTTTGAATACAGGCCTTCAATCTGCGCGGCCAGTCGTCTATCGCAGCACGAACGAGGTCCATGTCAATATCGGCGGCTGCCTTAATCAAGGATGTCTTGAGTGACTCCAAATTGGGATGAGGCTTTGAGCACGCCTTTTCCTCCAAGCGTTGCCATATATTGTAATCTAACGGATTCAAATCTGGACTGGAGGAGGGCCAATCTTCGTGCCGGATGAAGTCGATTTCACGCGCCGCCAGCCAGTCTTGTGTGCTCTTCGCTCTATGAGCTGGCGCCGAATCTTGTTGGAATACCCAGTGCCTGTTATTGAACATGATATGAGAAACAGGTCCCACAAGGTTCGTCAGGACTCTATTTTGATACACAACTACATTCGTTTTTACACCTTTCTCACAAAAATGTACCTCTGTTAAGCCCCAATAAGAAACTCCCAACCATACCATGAACGAGGATGGAAAATGACCTCGTTGGACACGCGGAATACGGTTGCACGCTTCTTCACTACTGTGTGCGTACACCTTATCATTTTGTTTGTTGTAGCTCTCTTCTACGGTAAAAATTTTTTCATCCGAAAAAAGAATTTCCCGATATTTTTTTCCCGCGTACCGCTTCAACAAAGCGCGGCATCTCTTCAGTCTCAGGTCCATTAGACGAGCATTCAAACGATGTCCTGTTTTTCTTCGATATGCCCGAAGCCCTAAGTCTTCATTTAACACCCTTTTCACCGTGGTTCTGCTTAACCCCATCTGAAGGGCCAACAGTTTCTGCTTACGTTTGGGATTTCTTTGAATTCGCGCCTTCACAGCTTTTATCACTGCTGGAGTCCTAACAGACCGAGGGCGACCACTTCTTGACCTGTCATCTACACTAGAGTCTTCATTGTATCGTTTGATGGTACGATAAACGAATCTTTTGGTTATATTCAAATTTTTCAGTATGTTAAAAATTTGAATTGGCGCGTAACCGCAACGATGCAACGCAATAACTGCAACACGGTCTTCTTTAAGCGTCCACTCCATATTTAAAAATGAGTAAAATTCTAAAAGTATACATTTTTATTTTCATGAACAATTCGAAATTCGAATTCAATAAACTTTTTTGTGGCCAGCATTCTAAAAGAAAAGTTTTTACTGTGTGACAATACTTATGACCTGACTAGGTACAGTCAAACCTGGATAAGCGAGAGTTCAAGGGAGCACAATCTCATTCTCGCTTATAGAGGTTTCTCACTAACCCGAGGTTCGCTAATGCTCCCTCTGAATTTCATTTCGCGATTTTCCGGATTCAAACGCATTCACTATTTTAAGTTTATCACTTAATGACAGTACTTTCATTTTCCGTTTTGACATGATGCAGAACAAAACTTTCCTTCGCAATTGATTAACGATAAACTGAGTAAGTCCGACAAACAGGACGGTACACAGACACACGTGTCTATTCGAAAAGAATGCGATAAAATAGCAGCGTAATTTAGTTCCACGAAATAGAATAGGTTCAATACTGACGAGAAAAAAATACAAAAACAATGGTAGGAAGTTCCACAAAAGTTAAGAATGAGTCATAAAATAGCAGATGTTAAATTTGTAATTTGTTTTGTCACTTGTTTCTGCTAAATAATATAAATAAATAAAGCTCGACTGTCGCTTATAGAGGTATAGATAAGTAGCAGTCTCACTTATGGAGGTCCATGAGGGAAAAACGACTCTCTCTTATCAAGGTTTCTGTTTCTCGCTAATAGAGGTTTTGGGGGCTTAAAATGACGGGTCCTGGCTATTACTCTCACTTATAGAGTTTTCTCACTTATCCAGTTCTCACTTACCCAGGTTTGACTGTATATGTATATACAATAATTGCTCGTTTAAAGGTATAATAAGATAAGATAACCTATTCTCAATTTGACTTTAAGCATTAACAAAAGCTTGTATATTTGTGTGTGTCAAATAGATGGTAGTGTGTGTAATGTTTTTTTATTGATTTAATGTACATTAATGCATAATTAAAAAAAATATTGCATTCTGCACTCCGTCTCTGTATTCTCTATAAGTGTGGAAAATTTCGTACACCTCTGTCAGCGTAATTTTCGTAAAAAGGGGTAGAAAGTTTTTGGTTCACGTATTAATATATAGTATTTTACAGATTGTCCTGAGAATTCTCATTTGACAATGGATCCCTGCGCGCCGACCTGTGAAGACCCAGAACTGAAAAACACCAGCTGCGTAGCGGCATTGCTCCCAACATGCCACTGTGATGATGGCTTCCTCTTCGACAAATCAGGAAAATGCGTACCCGTTGATGAATGTCCAGACCATAAGAGTGAGTGCGTCAACTGATTCCGACTTACAATAGGGGTGTAGTATGAAACTGCGTTTCATTGTAACTAGTCCTTCTCTGGTAGTCGAAATTCGACTATAGTTAATTAAATTTACAAGTTTGTACACTATTATGATTATATTGTCAAAGACTATTATATTATTTCTATTAAATAATCACAGATTTCGCCAAGACTACACTATAGATAAATAATATTAAAGATAAACAATAACTAGACGATGACCGAGCCTAGCTCGGTTTTTTTTTTTGATAAATTGTGTTTTTTTAAATTATATTTACATACGAATTACATATTGATAAAATGATGAAATATTCCAAGATCGTTTAGGCATTTTAAGTGAACACGTGAGTTAAAAAGACACAAATAATATATTTGACGGCCGTCTGGTGTAGTGGTAAGTGACACGGCCACTACACAAGGGGGTCGCGGGTTCGAATCCCGCCAAGGGAAGATAATTTGTATGATAAATATAAAATGTCTTTTCCAGGGTTATGGATGTATATTAAATATATGTATGTGTAAATAAAAATCTTACATTTATTTCCGTTATCTGGTACCTGTAACACAAGTTCTTTACGAACTTAGCACGAGACTAGTTAACGTGGCGTGATTGTTAATAAATATTTATATATTTATTATTATTTAAACAAACAATTCATTTTCTTGGTCTAACCTTAAACCAAAAACTCATTGGCTTCGGGTGGCTTAACAACGCCATCTGCTGAAATAGCTTTAGTGTTATTGTGTCTTTAAAGCAGTTAGGTGCTCTCAATGATGAAAAATAGTATTATTATTCGCCAATAGATGTCGGGAAGAGTCAAAAAGTTGATTATCGATAAAGTTGATTGTTGAAAACACGAATAAAACGACATTTTCTGAAAATAAATCGTAGCTAGATCGATTTATGCCCCCCAAATCCCTTGTATACTAAATTATATAATAATCGTTCGAGCCATTTCCGAGATTCAGATTACATATATATGTCTATACAATAATTGCTCGTTTAAAGGTATAATAAGATAAGATAACCTATTCTCAATGTGACTTTAAGCATTAACAAAAGCTCCGAGCTTTTATATTTGTGTGTGTCAAATACATGGTAGTGTGTATAATGTTTTTTTTATTGATTTAAAGTATTTTTAATGCATAATTAAAAAAAAATTGTATTCTGCACTCCTTCTCTATATTCTCTATAAGTGTGGGTAATTTCATACTCCTCCGTCAGCGTAATTTTCGTAAAAAGGGGTAGAAAGTTTTTGGTTCACGTATTAATATATAGTATTTTACAGATTGTCCTGAGAATTCTCATTTGACAATGGACCCCTGCGCGCCGACCTGTGAAGACCCAGAACTGAAAAACACCAGCTGCGTAGCGGCATTGCTCCCAACATGCCACTGTGATGATGGCTTCCTCTTCGACAAATCAGGAAAATGCGTACCCGTTGATGAATGTCCAGACCATAAGAGTGAGTGCGTCAACTGATTCCGACTTACAATAGGGGTTGTAGTATGAAACTGCGTTTCATTGTAACTAGTCCTTCTCTGGTAGTCGAAATTCGACTATAGTTAATTAAATTTACAAGTTTGTACACTATTATGATTATATTGTCAAAGACTATTATATTATTTCTATTAAATAATCACAGATTTCGCCAAGACTACACTATAGATAAATAATATTAAAGATAAACAATAACCAGACGATGACCGAGCCTAGCTCGGTTTTTTTTTGATAAATTGTGTTTTTTTAAATTATATTTACATACGAATTACATATTGATAAAATGATGAAATATTCCAAGATCGTTTAGGCATTTTAAGTGAACACGTGAGTTAAAAAGACACAAATAATATATTTGACGGCCGTCTGGTGTAGTGGTAAGTGACATGGTCACTACACAAGGGGGTCGCGGGTTCGAATCCCGCCAAGGGAAGATAATTTGTATGATAAATATAAAATGTCTTTTCCAGGATTATGGATGTATATGAAATATATGTACGTGTATAATAAAAATCTTACATTTATTTCCGTTATCTGGTACCTGTAACACAAGTTCTTTACGAACTTAGCATGAGACTAGTTAACGTGGCGTGATTGTTAATAAATATTTATTTATTTATTATTGTTTAAATAAACAATTCATTTTCTTGGTCTAACCTTAAACCAAAAACTCATTGGCATCCGGTGGCTTAACAACGCCATCTGCTGAAATAGCTTTAGTGTTATTGTGTCTTTAAAGCAGTTAGGTGCTCTCAATGATGAAAAATAGTATTATTATTCGCCAATAGATGTCGGGAAGAGTCAAAAAGTTGATTATCGATAAAGTTGATTGTTGAAAACACGAATAAAACGACATTTTCTGAAAATAAATCGTAGCTAGATCGATTTATGCCCCCCAAATCCCTTGTATACTAAATTTTATAATAATCGTTCGAGCCATTTCCGAGATTCAGATTACATATATATCGACGCTTGAAAGGCAAACGTGACTAAGCGACAATGCGTGAACTTTACAGTAGACTAATTTAAAGTTGAAATACCTGAAAACAAAATTTATTTTAACGAATCCAGCTGTAGTAGAATCTAGCTAGTAGCTGTAAGATTGAAATGATTTTAATAGACCTAGAAATATTTTTTTTTTGCACATCGAAAATGGTTATTGCCTATCATTTATGTACAAAGCAGCTATTATCGCTTAGTCACTTTTGCCTTTCAAGCGTCGATATGTATATACAATAATTGCTCGTCTAATAAGATAAGATAATCTATTCTCAATTTGACTTTAAGCATTAACAAAAGCTTGTATATGTGTGTGTAGTGTGTGTAATGTTTTTTTTATTGACTTAAAGTATTTTTAATGTATTATTTAAAAAAAATTGCATTCTGCACTCCTTCTCTATATTCTCTACTAGCGGCCCACCCCGGCTTCGCCTGGGAAGTAGCGCATGCGATGTAAAGAATTTTAGGTAATTTTTTTACACATTGGGTTACATTATTGGAGTTTCAGTGAGGATCCCTAATTTTTTTGAAAATATAATAAACATAGCCTATGTCACCCGGAGATAGCGTAGCTTTCCAACAGTGAAAGAATTTTTTAAATCGGTTCAGTAGTTTCGGAGCCTATTCAATACAAACAAACAAACAAATCTTTCCTCTTTATAATATTAGTATAAATAAGTGTGGGTAATTTCATACTCCTCCGTCAGTGCAATTTTCGTAAAAAGGGGTAGAAAGTTTTTGGTTCACGTATTAATATATAGTATTTTACAGATTGTCCTGAGAATTCTCATTTGACAATGGACCCCTGCGCGCCGACCTGTGAAGACCCAGAACTGAAAAACACCAGCTGCGTAGCGGCATTACTCCCAACATGCCACTGTGATGATGGCTTCCTCTTCGACAAATCAGGAAAATGCGTACCCGTTGATGAATGTCCAGACCATAAGAGTGAGTGCGTCAACTGATTCCGACTTATAATAGGGGTTGTAGTATGAAACTGCGTTTCATTGTAACTAGTCCTTCTCTGGTAGTCGAAATTCGACTATAGTTAATTAAATTTACAAGTTTGTACACTATTATGATTATATGGTCAAAGACTATTATATTATTTCTAATAAATAATCACAGATTTCGCCAAGACTACACTATAGATAAATAATATTAAAGATAAACAATAACTAGACGATGACCGAGCCTAGCTCGGTTTTTTTTTTTGATAAATTGTGTTTTTTAAAATTATATTTACATACGAATTACATATTGATAAAATGATGAAATATTCCAAGATCGTTTAGGCATTTTAAGTGAACACGTGAGTTAAAAAGACACAAATAATATATTTGACGGCCGTCTGGTGTAGTGGTAAGTGACACGGCCACTACACAAGGGGGTCGCGGGTTCGAATCCCGCCAAGGGAAGATAATTTGTATGATAAATATAAAATGTCTTTTCCAGGGTTATGGATGTATATTAAATATATGTATGTGTAAATAAAAATCTTACATTTATTTCCGTTATCTGGTACCTGTAACACAAGTTCTTTACGAACTTAGCACGAGACTAGTTAACGTGGCGTGATTGTTAATAAATATTTATATATTTATTATTATTTAAACAAACAATTCATTTTCTTGGTCTAACCTTAAACCAAAAACTCATTGGCTTCGGGTGGCTTAACAACGCCATCTGCTGAAATAGCTTTAGTGTTATTGTGTCTTTAAAGCAGTTAGGTGCTCTCAATGATGAAAAATAGTATTATTATTCGCCAATAGATGTCGGGAAGAGTCAAAAAGTTGATTATCGATAAAGTTGATTGTTGAAAACACGAATAAAACGACATTTTCTGAAAATAAATCGTAGCTAGATCGATTTATGCCCCCCAAATCCCTTGTATACTAAATTTTATAATAATCGTTCGAGCCATTTCCGAGATTCAGATTACATATATATCGACGCTTGAAAGGCAAACGTGACTAAGCGACAATGCGTGAACTTTACAGTAGACTAATTTAAAGTTGAAATACCTGAAAACAAAATTTATTTTAACGAATCCAGCTGTAGTAGAATCTAGCTAGTAGCTGTAAGATTGAAATGATTTTAATAGACCTAGAAATATTTTTTTTTTGCACATCGAAAATGGTTATTGCCTATCATTTATGTACAAAGCAGCTATTATCGCTTAGTCACTTTTGCCTTTCAAGCGTCGATATGTATATACAATAATTGCTCGTCTAATAAGATAAGATAATCTATTCTCAATTTGACTTTAAGCATTAACAAAAGCTTGTATATGTGTGTGTAGTGTGTGTAATGTTTTTTTTATTGACTTAAAGTATTTTTAATGTATTATTTAAAAAAAATTGCATTCTGCACTCCTTCTCTATATTCTCTATAAGTGTGGGTAATTTCATACTCCTCCGTCAGCGTAATTTTCGTAAAAAGGGGTAGAAAGTTTTTGGTTCACGTATTAATATATAGTATTTTACAGATTGTCCTGAGAATTCTCATTTGACAATGGATCCCTGCGCGCCGACCTGTGAAGACCCAGAACTGAAAAACACCAGCTGCGTAGCGGCATTGCTCCCAACATGCCACTGTGATGATGGCTTCCTCTTCGACAAATCAGGAAAATGCGTACCCGTTGATGAATGTCCAGACCATAAGAGTGAGTGCGTCAACTGATTCCGACTTACAATAGGGGTTGTAGTATGAAACTGCGTTTCATTGTAACTAGTCCTTCTCTGGTAGTCGAAATTCGACTATAGTTAATTAAATTTACAAGTTTGTACACTATTATGATTATATTGTCAAAGACTATTATATTATTTCTATTAAATAATCACAGATTTCGCCAAGACTACACTATAGATAAATAATATTAAAGATAAACAATAACCAGACGATGACCGAGCCTAGCTCGGTTTTTTTTTGATAAATTGTGTTTTTTTAAATTATATTTACATACGAATTACATATTGATAAAATGATGAAATATTCCAAGATCGTTTAGGCATTTTAAGTGAACACGTGAGTTAAAAAGACACAAATAATATATTTGACGGCCGTCTGGTGTAGTGGTAAGTGACATGGTCCCTACACAAGGAGGTCGCGGGTTCGAATCCCGCCAAGGGAAGATAATTTGTATGATAAATATAAAATGTCTTTACCAGGGTTATGGATGTATATGAAATATATGTACGTGTATAATAAAAATCTTACATTTATTTCCGTTATCTGGTACCTGTAACACAAGTTCTTTACGAACTTAACACGAGACTAGTTAACGTGGCGTGATTGTTAATAAATATTTATTTATTTATTATTATTTAAATAAACAATTCATTTTCTTGGTCTAACCTTAAACCAAAAACTCATTGGCTTCGGGTGGCTTAACAACGCCATCTGCTGAAATAGCTTTAGTGTTATTGTGTCTTTAAAGCAGTTAGGTGCTCTCAATGATGAAAAATAGTATTATTATTCACCAATAGATGTCGGGAAGAGTCATAAAGTTGATTATCGATAAAGTTGATTGTTGAAAACACGAATAAAACGACATTTTCTGAAAATAAATCGTAGCTAGATCGATTTATCGCCCCCGAAATCCCCTGTATACTTAATTTTATAAAAATCGTTGGAGCCGTTTCCGACATTCAGATTATATATGTATATACAATAATTGCTCGTTTAAAGGTATAATAAGATAAGATAACCTATTCTCAATTTGACTTTAAGCATTAACAAAAGCTTTTGTATTTGTTGTGTCAAATACATGGTAGTGTGTGTAATGTTTTTTTTTATTGATTTAACGTATTTTTTAATGCATAATTAAAAAAAAATTGCATTCTGCACTCCTTCTCTATATTCTCTATAAGTGTGGGTAATTTCATACTCCTCCGTCAGCGCAATTTTCGTAAAAAGGGGTAGAAAGTTTTTGGTTCACGTATTAATATATAGTATTTTACAGATTGTCCTGAGAATTCTCATTTGACAATGGATCCCTGCGCGCCGACCTGTGAAGACCCAGAACTGAAAAACACCAGCTGCGCAGCGGCATTGCTCCCAACATGCCACTGTGATGATGGCTTCCTCTTCGACAAATCAGGAAAATGCGTACCCGTTGATGAATGTCCAGACCAAAAGAATGAGTGCGTCAACTGATTCCGACTTCTAATAGGGGTTGTAGTATGAAACTGCGTTTCATTGTAACTAGTTGTTCTCTGGTAGTCGAAATTCGACTATAGTTAATTAAAATTACAAGTTTGTACACTATTGTGATTGTATTGTCAAAGACTATTATATTATTTCTATTAAATAATCACAGATTTCGCCAAGACTACACTATAGATAAATAATATTAAAGATAAACAATAAATAACCTATTCTCAATTTGACTTTAAGCATTAACAAAAGTTGGACAATAAACAAATAGTATGCACGCGTGTGTGTGTCAAATACATGGTAGTGTGTGTAATGTTTTTTTTATTGATTTAATGTTTTTTTAATGCATAATTTTAAAAAAAATTAGCCTTCTGCACTACTTCTCTATATTCTCTATAAGTGTGGGAAATTTCATACTCCTCCGTCCGCGCAATTTTCGTAAAAAGATTTTTGAGAGAAACTTTTTTCAAATAGTACCTGTGAGGTTCTTCTTTTAAAAAAATGTGCAACATTCGATTATCGACTTTCAGTTGCTTTTTTTTTTTAAACCAGACAAGAAAGATGAATATTCCGAAAATTCGAATGATTTTTGATTACGAGTTCCGACGCGGAACTAACGCTGCAGAAACAGCTCGCAATATCAATGTTGCATTTGGAAAGGGGACTGCCAATGAACGCACCGTGCGATTTTGGTTTAAACGCTTTCGTGATGGAAATTTTGATTTGAAGAATTAACCACGTGGAAGATCACCCACACATGTGAATAACAATGAATTAAAAGAGATGGTGGAAGCCGATCCGAGCCAAACTACCCAGGAATTAGCGGCATGGTTTAACGTTATCTCACCAACAATATTGACTTATTTGCGTCAAATCAATAAAAAAAAATAAAAAAAAAAATGGATGCCTCATGATTTGACTGATCTGCAGAAAGAAACGCGTGTTGAAACTAGTATTGCCTTGTTGAATCGATACAGAAATGAAGGAATATTGGATCGAATTGTGACGTGTGATGAAAAATGGATTCTTTACGATAACCGTAAGCGCAAAATGCAATGGCTGACCCCAGGTCAAACGTCGCAACAATGTCTTAAAGCAAAGCTTACCAATAAAAAGGTAATGATGTCTGTTTGGTGGTCTCAGCATGGTGTTATTCACTAGAGCTTTCTCCGATCTGGTCAAGCAATAACGGCTGATGTCTACTGTGCCGAACTTCGAGCAATGATAGCAAAACCTGTAGTGAAACATCAGACTCATGAATCGATCTTCACCATTATTGCTCCATGATAACGCGACACCTCATACAGCACGAGAAACCGTTTTAACTCTATAGGAACTGCAATTAGAAACCATTCGTTACCCTCCGTATTCACCCGACCTTGCTCCAACGGACTGCCATTTTTTTTGTGATTTGGTCAAATTTTACGTGATAAAAAGTTTTCTTCCCAGGAGGCAGTACAAAATATTTTCACACAATTTGTAGAATTTAGATCACCAGAGTTCTATCGCAAAGGCATAAAAGACCTTTCTATTAGATGGCAGCAATGTATCAGTAATAATGGTAGATATTTTGATTAAATAAAAAAAACAAATTTCAATTTTTCAGTAAAAATCGTCAATTTCATACTTTAACCCCTAATATTTCGTTTTCAAAGTTCATTATTTTTGTCTTCAAAAACTAAATTTCAGTACCTACCTAATTATCGACCGTTTCTATTAAAAATTTTGAATAAAGAAATGATTTGTTTGTGTGTTCTTGGAATTCACAAAAATAGCCAGAGATTTGAATGAAAAATGAAAAATCATATAATCATAATAAGTCATTCCATGAGCATGTCTGTAAATATTCCAAGCTGTTTAAAAAAGCCTGTACATTGGCCAAGTCATTGCACTTAGGCAATCTTATAAAAAATGCACCTGACAAAATTAAAATGACTTGGAATATTATTAATAGGGAGACTGGGTATGTCAGAAACAGTAATGCTGAATTAACTTTGAAAATCAATGATAAAACAATAACTTCTCATCAAGAAGTGGCCAGTGCCTTTGAGCGCTACTTTGCTGATATCCCAGCTTCTACTACAAAATCTTTAATTTCATCTCCTATCGTCGCCGAATCATTACTGCAAGATCATGTTGATAAATGCAGTGTTAACTTTAAGTTCACAAATATTGATATCAAGGACATAATTGATAATTTCAAGCTCATTACTATTAAGAAAACTGGTGATTTATGGGGAATTTCAATTAAGGTTATAAAATCCATTATTGATATAATCGCACCTTACCTTGCTACAATATTTAATGACTGTTTTGATTGTGGTGTGTTTCCTGATCTAATGAAATATAGTAAAATAAAACCTTTGTTTAAATCTGGTAGTACTTTTGACCCCGCTAACTTTAGGCCCATTTCAGTACTACCTACATTGAGTAAAATTAAAAAAAAAAATATTTTGGAACAACTTTTGAACCATTTCAATTCCAATAACCTGCTTCATAACAAACAATATGGATTCACTAGAGGTCGTTCAACTATTGATGCAGGTGTAGATCTTATTAAAAATATTTTTCAGGCTTGGGAGGAATCGCATAATGCCCTTGGGGTTTTCTGCGATTTATCTAAAGCTTTTGATTGTGTTGAGCATAATACATTGTTGAGGAAATTACACCATTATGGTATTAGGGGCGTTTCATTAGAACTTATTAAATCTTATTTATCCGGAAGAATCCAAAAGGTAGACGTTAAAGGAAAGAGATCTTCCGATCTTCCGTGTCTTACTTAATATGGGTGTTCCTCGGGGTTCCATATTGGGTCCCTTTCTATTTTTTGTGTATATCAATGATTTACCAAAGTTTATTGAAACCCGTCACGAGGTCGTATTATTCGCTGACGATACATCCTTATTGTTTAAAATTAAACGACAATTGGAATATTATGACGATGTGAATGATGCTATCTCGCGCGTGGTACATTGGTTTAGTGTTAATAATCTGTTATTAAATAACAAAAAAAACAAAATGTATAAAATTTACCACACCTAATGTTAGACAAGTAGACACTAATATTACTGTAAGTGGAGAGACACTGGAGCTTGTGGATTCGACAGTTTTTCTTGGTATAACAGTTGATTCCAAGCTGCAGTGGGGTCCTCACATAGGCAAGTTAGCGAGTAGACTTAGTTCTGCAGCGTTTGCGGTAAAAAAATACGAACGTATACCAACGAAGATACGTCACGTCTGGTTTATTTCAGTTATTTTCATAGTGTTATGTCATATGGCATTTTGCTATGGGGCAATGCTGCCGATGTTGAAACGATTTTCATCCTGCAGAAGAGGGCTATTCGTGCTATTTATAATATGCACCCGAGGGAATCCTTGAGGGACAAGTTTAAGGAAATCAAAATTCTAACTTTAGCGTCCCAATACATTTTTGAAAATATATTGTACGTGCGTAAAAACATTGAAGAATTCCCCAGAGTCTGCGATTTGCATAATGTGAACACTAGGAAAAAACATAGGCTTGCGTTGCCGGCGGCTCGAATTAAGAAAATAAGCAACTCTTTTAGGGGGCTGGGTGTACAACTTTTCAACAAGATTCCACAAAACGTTCAATTACTACCTGTTCATAGATTTAAGAAAACTGTCAAGGTACGTTTATGCAACAAGGCATATTATAAAGTTAAGGATTATTTACTAGATGGTACTACGTGGGAATGAGGCGTTCACTCCTGGCCTTTTCATTTTTCATTATTATTATTTTATTTTATTTTAATTGTATTTTTTTACTTGTTTTTTCGTTTATTGTAAATATATTTACTTATTAAAAGAAAAAAAAAGAAAAAATTGGAGAAAAAACAAAAAAAAGAAGCCCGCTGAGTTTGTTTCGCCGGTTCTTCTCGGGACTGTGGCTTTTTTTGGAACCGGTGGTACAGTTAACTTTGTTATTTATATTTTGACAGTCAACAAGTGTGTTAAACTGACATCTAAGTTGAAAAAAATGATTTTGGATTTGAATTTTGTTTTGAATTAAATGATGATTGATTAATTGATGATGATTTTTCTTATAAGTATAGATTGACTGAACTTTCTGTCGTTGAGACAAAAGAGAAGTTCAGTTTGACTTAATTCAATAACACTGTGTAAAAAAATAATTTGTGGAAAATAAAGGGTTTAAATGTTGTTTTCTTCGTATTGTATAAAAAAGGCAATTAAGTACTTTTTTTATTTATTGCTTAGATGGTTGGACGAGCTTCCAGCCCACCTGGTGTTAAGTGGTAAATTACTTTATTACTGTTCGACCATAGTTAGAATATTCCTTATCGTTATAACGCAACATTTTTGATGGATGCAGATGAGTTTTTTTTAAAAATGCAGATATATTGAAACTTTAAAATATTTACTTGAAAAACAGTGTCTAGATTGATATAACAGCATGCTAATATAATATATAGTGAACGCGGAATGGGCAATATGGAAGATTTTTTTTTGTAAAACATACGGAAACAAAGGTCGGTGGCAGGTTAAATATATTTTTACATTTAAATTTCAAGGAGGATCATTACGGGAAATGCTACAGAAAAGAAAGATTGAGTCAAAGCCGTCAATGTGACTTTTGAACAATTATTGGTAAATCAGAAAAACGAATTATTGACTTTGTATTCCATTGGCAGTCACAAAACTCTTCTGAACGACATCTTAGATAAATAACAGGTTAAGTATTAACCTTTATTTAATGCAGGTTTTGAACCGTATTCTTTAAAGGAGACAATTATATTCAAATCAATCTGTATTGACATATAAATAATTTTTTTTTGTCCAAATGCACAGATTGCCACCTTTGATAATAGACGACTCGATTGTTACTAGAGATAAAAATATTGACACACAATAATTCACCTTATTGTTATGGGCTTATCAGATTATATAATGTTCAAAATGGATAAGGAAGTAATAGGAATCGACTGCTATTCTTTTTAATTAAATTGGTAAACATGAACGAACAATCTCTCGTATAGTAAACTAGCAGACCCGGCCACACGTTGCTGTGGCTAAGGTTTTTGTTTCGAAATAACACGTGGCCGGCTATACTAATACAAAAAATTAACAAACTA